AATTACTTGTAATTCTTTTACACAAATTTCAATCACACAATTTTATTTTATTATTTCTTGTGTCAGTCAAATTTGACTGCAAAGTTTCAAGGGACAAAGCCTGAAGGGAGTACTTCGTAAGAATTAACCATTGTGTAAAAATGTCGTAAATGTTATACGCAGTTCATAACAATTAGTATGTTTTTACCTGGACTGAAATTTGCTGGTCTAGTCTGAACTGGTTTGGTCTAATCTGAACTGATCTAATCTGGTCTGTTTCCAACTTGGTGTGGGACAGTTCAAATAAAAACATCTCTAACTGATACGCCGTATAACTTACAGTATGTTTAAATTAACTCACACTATCAACCAATCCTAGATCCGCACTACCTCACCAATTATGTTTTAAATGTCGGCTCTTAGTATGGTATTAATCATAATACTAGCGATGAGCTTCACACGTACAAAGAATAGTTATTGACTTATTGGGATAGGTGAGACTGATCGGATGCATGGATCACGAAACACTTAAGATCCTCCATCATTAGGGCATATTAAATTCAAGTTACTGAAGAGGTAAATTTAAAATAAATTTCTCAAATTAACTTGTGTTTAACCAATTAACCCACACTTGAAAGACGCGTCCTAGACCCAAAAAAATCGGCATCACTTGATGCTAATAAAACTATATTAATTTAGTTATCTAAAGAGAAACATGAAAGACGTCATTACCCCATTTATGTTCCTTAAATTTTAAAATCTGTACTCTTCCCATAAAGAATAGATAAATGGAATGGAGTAATATTCAGCCACTACAAGTAGGCGCGGTTTGATAATGACTTCTTTAATTATAGCAGAATTTATGCAATCCCAAAGAATACTTTGAACTTGGATGACAATAGACCCATACCTACATGTGCTACGACCATTTTGCGGTTGGTCTAACCAAAGACAAAGGTTGAGTGCATTTGGTTACTTGTGGGTTAAAGTGTAAATGCTGAGAGGGTGTTTGTTTGTTGATTTCATTTGGTACGGCGTGATTCAGTGCTGCAAACAAGGGATGAGAACTCCATGTTACAAAAGAGTAATTATATTTGTGAGAGGTTGAGTAATTCATGGAGCCTATCATCATAACTAAAATTAAAATAAGAATAACATGATACAGATGTATACAGTGGAGGAGCTGGGGAGGGGCATGCGCCCCCGCTTCGACCAAAATTTTTAAGTACTACTACTTATAATATATTCAATGCCCCCTTTTTTTCAAAAATAAATACCAATTAAGGACAATTTTAGATTAAGTGTTAAAATAATTAAAAGGCAAAGTCTTTCTGAAAACATATGCGTCTATAGAAATACAAGAATTGGATGCAACATATCACACTCATTTGAATGGAAGTGTGAATTGTTTCAGACATTTAATGACACACGAGTTGGCTTTTCGTGGTTATAGTGAGCAAGAAAGTGTTGAGTTTGACGAATATGTTGTCACATTTCTTGTAACAAAAAGATCAAAACATTCTCGAGACTATGTTGAATTCCCTCCTTAATGGAGAAATTCATGAGAATTTTAGAATTTTTAGAGATGTCCAAGATTCTATATATGTGTGTAGAGAAGTATTGAATGTTCTATAATAATAATAATGCGGAGTTTCCTAGAGAAAGGTGGAACTCACTAAAATCGTGTGGAAGTGTGTGGAAGCCCTAGAACATTTTGAAGAATTGTGAGGTTTTCTATATCCTTCCGAAAGATAAGATGAGCTTGTGGATACTTTTTGGAAAAATCTAGATGTGTAGTGTGTAAAAAAATCATCTAGAGAAACTTCTCATTTATATGAGAATTTTGAGGAGAGCTCTTGAGTAAGTGAAAGTGAGAGTCTTCTTGAAAGAAGAGAGTGAGAGCCTACTTGTGATAGAAGAAGGCTCAAAGATATCGTTTGATGAAGTGTATGTGATCAAGTTAGGTACAATGAAGTATTCTCATATACAAAAAGTGAGTGAGGGTAATACAAAGTGATATTGTGAGATTGAGTTTTTGTATTATGAGCATGTGGATATATAAGTGTACAAGAGTCTATGAGTTCGTGATCCTGAAAAAGGATGGGGGTCGTGTTTTCCAACATAAAGTTATTATACAACATTTTGAACAAATTAAAACTCATATAATTGGTCTAGCTACCGAGATTAAGATATGACTCAAGCAGTATGTAATGAATTAATTTGTGCTAATGTGTAACGCTTTTATTGTTTTTATTATATTTTGAGCAAACACAAAAAATTCTTAACCTTCAGTACGCCCCTGCTTCGAAAACACTTTGGCTCCGCCACTGGATGTATACATATAATATAAATCAATTTTTCGTATAAAACTACTTGCTAGATGAAGGGGGAAGCCTTGGTGCGCCGGCTGAAGTGTTGTTGTGTAATCGAGAGGTCACGGGTTTAAGTCTTGAAAGCGGCCTCCTGTAAAAATGTTTGATAGGAGAAGGCTTGCTCATTATACACCCTTTTGATGGGACTCTTCTCGGACCCTCGTATTGTATGGATGCCTTTGTGCACTGGTTGCCATTTTTTAAACACTACTCGCTAGATACAAAATTCATCTGAAACTCCTAGCTTAAAATAAAATATTTACTATGTATACCATCCAGTAATCTAGCGAGAATGTTAGAATATGTACTATATATACCATCTAGTAAATTTAGTTAGAATGTCAATAATGTATTCTCTATCATAAAATATCTATCCGATCTGTCCGTGTTCATAATAATAAATTAATACTCCGTAACATAATAATAATCAATGCCAAAAATTTCACCAGACAAAGACCCGACTGTTGGGAGTAAATGTATGTATCCTTTTCATGATCACATTGCGCGTTTAACAATCGAATAATGAATTCTTCAAACTCGGAGAACAAGTGATGAACCTATAGAAACATTAATAACACACATTTGCAATTAGAACTATTTTGATAGGAAATGCTACTAATGTTAATGCATATTATAATGATATAAAAAATTCACACTGTAAAAATTTTCATTGGTGATAATGGTCGAAAATAATATTCTAATTAATAGTTAAATCTATCAAAACTTTCTCTATTTTTAGGACTCAATTAATAGTGTACTAGTTAACTATATTCATTCTATGAAAACCAACCAAATTATATTCCACGTAAAAACAAATGGCTAATCAATAAATTAGATAGAACATGCACACATGTGGGTGGTTATGTTGCTTCCAATTATTTAAGCAAACTTTTGTATTTTTGCTTTTGTTTTTGTTTGAGATCTGTTGGTTTTTATGTCGGGACATATTCTATTCTATTTAGCCATGAGATGTGGACTTGTAATATACGGAGTACTACGTATTTGAGTTTGTATACATCATGCATTCATGTCTAAGTAATATCCAAACAAATCCTTACGAGCACCATTCTATACACTTTTCTCAAAAATGGAAATAGATTGAACAAGTATTTTACAATAACTAGAAAAATTTCTAGTGCGTTCTTAATGTGAACATGTACAATTTTCTTTTACACGGTGATGTTGCAAGTCAAATTATGCGTAAATGAATGGATAAAGGGTTAAAGCACTGAAGCACGCACATGCAAAAATGCTACTCCGTATAAGAATTTTTGGAGGAATGAAAGACTATTGGTACTTGGTAATAGTGTCATCAAATCAGTTTGACATGTTAAAAACGCAAATGTTCCCATTTAACTATTTAAGTCGTGACTCATGAAGTTTCTTCTAAAAAATCAACCTTATAAAATGATTAATTTAAAACTTTATATATTAATTTTTATATTTTTATACGCGACCAGTATGGACTATGGAAGTATGGAGTAGCTTAATACCTCCTTATGAATAAACTAATACATAAACATGGACTACTCATTTTATGATGGAAACTAGGGGTGGACTCGAGCCGGGCGGCCCGGCCCGGTTACTTTTTGAACCGGCCTGGCCCGGGAACCAGTCCGGGGGCGGTTCGGGTCGACCCGGCCCAGTAGGAATGCGGTTCGGGCTCGGGTCCTAGGATTGGTGAACCGGCCCGGCCGGTTCGGGCTCGGTCCGGGCCAAATAAATTAATTTTTTTTTTGAATTTTTTTAAGTTTTTGGGTTGGGCTGGGTATTTTGGGCCATTTGAGGTGGTTTGGGGGTGAGGGGGGAGGGTTGGGGGTTAATTAGGAAAAAAAATAGAACCGAGGCCCGGTCCGGACCCGGGGTTACCCGGGCCGGTTCCGGGCCTCCCATTCCTGAACCGAGGCCCGGCTGGGTCCAAGCCCGAACCGGGCCCGAGTCCACCCATAATGGAAACTTATGTTACTAAAAGTTTTATTGACAATTGCCCTTCTGATAAGATCATAAGACGATGTTCTATTCATTTTATATTCTCAAGTTATGTTGTTTTTTATTCTGGTCATTTTGTGTTATAAAAATACTATGTGTATTTACCAACTTACTTTCCTTTTGAAATATGCTCATTCACATAGGCTGGAACGGTATATCTGAGAATAACCAAGCCCATTTAAAAAGACTCGATCAAATTTTCAAACGGAATAACTTTACAAAAATCTTAGATTTTTGTTTTCAACATCTGTGATTCAATATACAAAAATAAAATTTGAAAATGATCTTAGGGCATGCTTGGTTTTGGGAGGGAAATGATTGTTCAAAATGAAGTCAATATGCAACTATATAGAAAATTAGAAATACAGGAAAAAGCCAATCCTATAGTTATTTTATCTCAAACTAAGAAATGGAGATCATTAATAAGATGAAATTGAAGTATTGAACCTCCCCTCTTTCCCCTCTAAGAAATAAGAATGTTTGAGGCTTGGAGCTTCCAAAACTCGTGTGTAACATAGATCCATATATTATTAACACTAACATCACTAATTCACATGTAGAAGTAAGCGTAACTGCATAAATGTAGGATGAAATAGTCTTAAGATTATTTGACATTTTCTTCTGAAATTCAGTGTAAAGATGAACATAGGCTGAAAAAGGATAAAATTAAATAAAATTAAAAGAATAGCTATTTTCTTTTCATCTACTTCTTTTCCATTTCACCTACTCAATGGCGATGGTTGAAAAATTATACGGAGTAATACTTCATCTACAATCAAGACAAAATGACATGTCAAACACACACTTGACATATGATTAATTATACAAGGTAACCACGAAACAATATCAATATGACTAGAACTACTGTCTTGGAGATCATTGGACTCGATCACTTTGAAGATAATAGTGCTAGTATGCACTGATGTATACCCAGCCAATAGAATACCAAATGGTTAAATGAAGAAAATGCAACCACAACAACACAGCCTTAAGCATGATGGTAATAATTAAAAAAAAAAAAAAAACACTTGCAACCAAAATATGCAAACACGACTTAATTTGCACTTTCAGAGCATTACTCTTGGGCCTTGGCAAGCTGAGAGGAGATAACCGAAGCAGGAGAGAAGACAAGGTAGATCGCTCTTAAACTCCTAATGACTTCCATGGAACCAAGGAAGACCTGTTGGAAGGCATTGCTTTGATTCTGGAATAGGAACTATGGGACCTAGGAATAGGCGCCACAGATCTAGTACAATTGTTACAAGCATTGAAGCTCCTAAAGCATCAATGGCTACCCTTGGCAAGTCCCATAAATCACCAGGTTTCTCATCAATCCTGTGTAATAACATTAGCTCCCAATTTATTTAACACAAAGGGAAAGCACATGGGGAAAATGGCCTAATAATCTCATTAAAGAAAATCGCAACGTCATAAAAAAATTGAAAAGCAGTTGTATAAAAGTAAAAAACCAGTTCTACCAATCACCATTACATTATGAAAAAATTAAGTCAAAGGCAACAAGTAATTTGCAAGTGCTATTGATTTTAGTATATTATATATGTGAATCTTTAGTTAAAAAAATCAAAAATAATGAGGGCAAACTTTATCTTTCTAAACAATAAAGATTAGAAATATGCATCATGACCACAATATTCTATTATTCTCAATTGAGTTGATGCCCGGAACTGCACCAATTTCAAAAGCACCTTACCGGATGGCACCAAAAGAAATGCAGGAGGTGAAGGAACAACTCGATGAGCTGTTAGAGAAGGGTATGTAAGGCCGAGTGTCTCACCTGGGGGTGCTCTAGTCTTATTTGTCAAAAAGAAAGGCTATGTATCGATTACTGAGAGTTGAACCAAGCAACTATCAAGAACAAGTATCCATTACCCCGTAGTGACGACTTGTTTGATCAATTGAAAGGGGATAGCACGTTCTCTAAGATAGACTTGCGCTCTAGCTATCATCAAGTGAGAATAACCGAGAAAGATGTACCAAAAACAACATTTCACACGAGGTATGGACACTACGAATTCATTGTGATGCTGTTCGATTTAACCAATGCACAAGCGGTATTCTTGAACCTAATGAAACTGTGTATTCTGACCTTATCTTGATACCTTTGTAGTGGTATTCATCGATGATATCCTCGTGTATTCAAAACCCCCAGAGAATCATGAGAAACACTTGAGACTCAAGTTGCAATCTTAGAGAGAACCAATTGTATGCCAAACCGAAGTCACATGGTTCGCGGAACGATTCGGTACGGGAACGAGGAACGGGAACGCGGTTCGCTAGATCTAGCGTATCCGGTTCGGAGGGGGGTAGGTTCATTTTGGTACGCGTTCGGTACGTTGTACCACATGTTCAGTACGTGGTATCTTATATCTTGATAATATAATGAAACTAAATTTAAGATTTCACAAGTCCTAACAAATACAGATTTCCTAATCATAAGTCATAACATTAAACAAAATAAAAAACACTAATATTCCAGAAATAAAAAACATTAATATTCCAGAAACTGAAGAGAAAAAACTAATAAAGTCGCAAAAGTGGATTGGTGTAGTAGGTTCAGAAGACTAAGTGTTTCCCGTCCAACCGAAGAAGACTAAGAGTCGAGTGTTTGGCGTAAGAAGACTATAAGTGTTCCCGACGTTTCCCTCAATTTATTAGTAGGCTCAGAAAGCGAAGAGCCTGGTCCGAAATTCTTGCGCTTGTTAGTAAAATGAGGGAAACAAAGTGCTGACCTGTTTCAATTTTGGGAAACGACGATTCAATCTGGGCAAGGACGGGAAACGACGATTCAAGCTGCGCAAAGATGGGAAACGGCGATTAAAATCGCTTTGAACAGCGTTTGGGATCGAATTGAAGAGCGATTGCGAGCGATTGGGAAGAGCGACTGGGATCGACTCAACCACCGTACCATTTAGCGTTCCCGTATGCGACCGGATCGATTTCGTACCGCGTTTGGGTACGGAACGACCGGTACGCAGATCGTGTCTTCCCCAGCGAGTTATGTATCTATGTGCCAAACTCTCAAAATGTGACTTTTGGCAGGATCAGGTAGCGTTCTTGGGTCACATCATCACCTAAGAGGGTGTATCCGTGGACCCATCCAAGATTGAAGCAGTGACCGAATGGCGTGCACCTACCTCGGTCACGGAGGTAAGAAGTTTCTTAGGATTGACGGGTTACTATCTGAGATTTGTTAAAGATTTCTCCAAGATAGCAAGACCGTTAACCAACCTGACGAAGAAGACAACCAAGTTCCAATGGAATGAAGATTATGAAGCAGCATTCCAAGAGTTGAAGAAAACACCCACAACTGTGTCGGTCTTGACACTACCGTCAGGGACGGAGAGGTTCGATATCTCCTGTGATGCATCCAAGAAGGGGTTGGGGGTGTGTGCTGATGCACAATAAGAAAGTGGTGGCTTATGCATCAAGACAACTGAAAGTGCATGAAGTCGACTATCCTACTCATGACTTGGAGTTAGTTGCAGGAGTGATTGCTTTGAAGATCTGGAGACATTACCTATACGAAGCACAATGTAAGATATACATTGACCACAAAAGGTTGAAGTACATATTCACTCAAGAAGAGCTTAACATGAGGCAAAGAAGATGGCTCCATCTTATCAATGATTACGATCTAGAAATTCAATACCATGAGGGAAAAGCCAACGTGGTGGCAGGTGCTTTGTGCCAAAAATATGAGCACTCATGCCGAGCGACGTGCATACTACCAGAAGAACTATTCCGAGACTTCCAAAGACTGAACTTAGAGGTAAAGCAATATGGCGAGATAGATAGTGAGATACAGTTATGTACTATGACCATTATAACATCTATCTTTGAGGAGATCAAGAACGGACAACCGAGAGATGTAAAGCTCGAAAGAATCACGGCAGGAATGAAAGATGGCAAGAACGATTCAAGACACATGAAGATGGGAGCATCTGATACAAGGGAAGGTGGTGTGTTCCACTAAGGTGTGCCGATATTAAAAAGTAAATCACGGAGGAGGGACACAACACGCCCTACTCGGTATTAAAAGCAAATCATGAACAAGCAAAGAAAAAATACTCACAAGCTTCTCCCCACATTCCTAGGAGGTCATTTCCTGGCTATCTTATTTCCCTACTGTTTACAAAAACATTTTGAAAATCCCCGTTTTGAAGGTATGATTTCCAAAGTTTCCTTCAACGATTTCGAACGACAAAGTTTCAGCATAAGGAGAAATTCCCAGATAGTTGAACTTTGTGAGGACGATAATTTTATTGTAAGAAACATCAGCGTTGGTGGAATCAACAAACACGGGAGTACTAGAAATAATACGTAGTGAATCTAGTGATTAATTATTTTGAATGTACTAAATATAATGTGAATGTTAAATATGACTTATGAGACTCAAGTTTAAGTGGAACCTACTAAAAGGAAAAATCATGAGACATTTTGAGTGATACCATGATTACTCGTCCGTGTTTTTTTGTCATGTTTGATGGGAGGGTAGACGTAATGATGTGCATTTTGACATTAGTGGAGCGTAGAATAGCAGAGGAGAAAAACATTGCCAATGCAACCATGCAGGGAAGATTGAACTCATAGAAACAATGTTGTGCTGGTTGCTTTTGCTTAAGAGTGCTTCCATTTCCCTCCAATTTACTGTTATGGACCATTCATGGGCCGGGATTACCACTGCAGACAGAACCGAGAAGGGACTGGGCCCAAACGGCTACTTGTGCAAGGCTAATATTCACAGCCTTCAACATCGGCTAGCAAGTAAGATACATAATGTGTTGAAACAGCACAAGGTGCCTACTAGGACTGAAGAAAAAGACAACAGAGCGAGACCGAGTCAAATAAAAGTGACCAAATTATAGGGGGGCTGGGGTACGGTTTAAGGGTTTATGCTTTTGAACTGACCAAACTGATGAAAATAGAACGAAAATGCCAGAAGTCACCGAAACCGACACAACCAACCAAAAATAACTTAAACTGATTAATATTACTCAGTTCGGTTCTCAGTTCAGCATTTCTCAAGACAAAATCCCTTGGGCCCCACACTGTCGGAAATGAGCATTTAGCGTCACTGGACATGACATCTAATGTCCTCTGTCCCTTACCAACTTTACAGGTCAAAAAAACTGGGGAGTCTTCGAACAGCTTGTGCACTGAGGGGGAGGGGGGCAGCTAGAGAAGAAAGCTACGTGGTTTTTTTGGAAGGCCAATATTCCATGAAAGCTTCTCTGCTGTAAAGCTTGAGGCAAAGCTTTTTGACAAAGGGGAAGTGATATATGGACCCATTTAAGGGCCGGGTTAACCACCACACAAGGTTCAAAGAAGGATTGGAAGAAAAGGCTAGTTGTGCTGCTCAAGTCTAACTTACTACTTAAGTTGTTTCCTGTGATTAGACTTTTATTAATGAGCATCTTAACTACTTTAGCTCTGGGATTTTTTTGCGCCTATATGAGGCCCATAAGTTGGAATAATAAATTATCTTTTTTGAAATTAGTTCGTTTTTGCGTAAGGTGAACCTGCAAACTGCCTAGGGCATGAGTTGGGTTAATGCCAGAACACCATAGCTTTGCTATGTTGAGTGTCCCGCATCACTTGCCGATGGGGTTGAGTCCAATCTAGTCTAGTTTATATAAGTGTGAGGTAAGCTTTACCTTTTGAGAATTCTTTTGGGATAAGTTAGCCTCACCTTAACAACGTTAAAGCCACTGACAGATTTGCATCTTCACAAGCTTATGACTTCTTTAGGAGCGAAGGACCCAAACTCCAATGGTCCAAGCCCATCTGGTCCATCTGAAGTCTGAACACGCCTAAAGCATGTGCTTATCTCTTGGCTTACATGAAAGGGAGGGTACTAAGGATAGGATGAGCCACTTGGATAATATGGACACTGAAACAACTAGCCGTTTCTTAAATGTAATGTCACAGTTTTTTCACAAGTTTCCACCCAGTCTGTATCATACTCTGATTTGCTATTCTATTGTCCATACATGGGTGATTGGCTCCACCATTGTTTACATGAACCTATACCACCACATCCCTCACTTGATGAAGAGGAATAGGATGAAGATGTCCCTCATTAAATATTTCTCTGTCATTACAATAGAATGCCTAGGCTGTTTTAAGCTTCTAGAAATAAAGCTCCAGAGCCTAGAAAATTCCATAATAAAGGAGTAAAAGGCATTTTGCAAGAAGGGCATCTTCCATCCTTCTCATCTCACCACGCTTCTATATTCAATGGTTCAAATACTATCCTCCTTACTTCACAAGTACTAGTCCTCTGTTATCAGAAACTTGAAGCTTCATTTATTGGTTTTGTCAGCTTGTACATGTACACCTCCAAGAAATGTAATAAATGACCCCTCATGTGCTAGCATGGTGCCACCAAAAAAGCCCGTGATTAATTAATCCACTACATATGGTTTCCAGTTCACTTGGGTTTGTTGATTCCATCAAACATTAAAGATTACTCTTTAAGTTTTCTTTTCCAATACACATTGGGTCAAAAGATTACATGTTCTTGCTGATGGGTTTTGTATTAGGTTGGCAATTAGTTTGTGCATTACAAATAAATACAGGATGTAAGTGCCTATTTTGATTCTTACCTCAAAAACATTGGAAAGCTCACAATAAAGTAGATCGCATAAAACAAGGAACCAATTTTGTACATGGATGCCCGGTCCACAAAGTCATAATATGGGAACTGCACATTTAAAAGAAATGAAAATTAGTGGGTCTTGACAGCAATGTCTCCAATGATGCATAAATATTTTTAAGAAGACATCATATTGAAATGCAGCTCATTTTAAGATGATTGTTTGGTAAGGAATAGACAAAATGAAGCTAATCTATCTGGAGTCATGATGAGGGGGCTAAGAAAAAGTTGCACTGTTCAGATATAGAGTTGGGCTGAGAGGGATGCATGTCCATAGGAGAAAAAATTGTACCGTCAAGGGGAAGTATCGTGACTATGAGGGGGAGTGGGAGTGTTTCCCACATCGATTAATTATAAAATAACAAATATCACATCACATCATCAACATCATCATTACCCCAGTGCCGAAAAGGCTCCCACCTACGGTGGGATGGGGGGTCGGATGTACGCAGCCTTATCCCTGTACTAAAAGTACAGAGAGGCTGTTTCCGGATGACCCATGATAAAATCACAAATATATATAGAAGAATTAGGTTAGTCCTCTTCCTATCAAGTTGAGGACTCAAAAAATAAAACAACTCATATAGCAATATGTGTTTACAACATACATTGGAAATGGCAATGGTCTCCAGATATGCTATAAAATAAGAAAAAGCTAGGATCCAGCTGGCTTTCAGAATCAACTGAGTGTTTTCTGGCAAGTTAGCAATAGCTGCCTGTAGTCTACGGAGAGTTATGTTGGACGCAACATGGTAAAACAGGAAACAGACATGTGCAAGAAGAAATGTTGTGTGGGGCACCTGAAATATGACAATGGTGTTGTTCTAAGGAGAGTGAAAAACAAGCAAAAGATCGATATGGGGTGTCAAAGTTTGTGTATTTATACTTACATCATTCATTTTCCAAGAAGGAAATGTATAGGAAGCCCCCAACACTGTGAAGAAATAATGAGTCCAAAAGTAATTTCCAACATAGCAAAATATTAATATCCAGAGATTGGCCTGGTGTAACATCAACTTTGTTTGTCAACAATAATAATATAAGATTTTTTCTAGAATACTACTCAGTCAAAGCTTAGGGACAAAAATGTGACTAAAGTTACTATGTTTATAAATTCATGGTCACTACAGTACAAAATTGAACATAATCATTGTCACGAAAAGTTACTATAATAGTAACTTTATATTAGATGTCACAATTTTGTCCATCATCCTTATTTTAATTATATATATGCCATTATTTCTAATAACAATTGCCATAACAATCATGAAACAAATATACATAAAATGTTACACTTATTAAAAACGATCAAATAAAATGCATACTAAGAGAAGTCCCCGTCAGCTATCTTACAGAACAAAACCTAGATGATGATCATCAAAATCATCTCAATCCCAACTATGCTGAGGTATGTCATCGGTGGCATAAAATTTAAAGGTAACTTATCTTAATATTTGGTGTACTGCTTTCTATATTTGCCATCTGTAAAAAAGATTACACATTGCAAGTAATAAAAAATACACCAAACATTGAGATAATTTGCCTCAAAGCTTACAACTAAGCGTCTGAAAATATCCTTTTCAAGAATACTTGCCTTTACCCAGTACCGTTCATGCCAATGAAGTCTTTTATCAGCCTGCAAAAACAAGTGGAGAAGTAAATCTCTTCATTATCAGTCTTGGCTACACATTAGTCATGCACAATCAACAACCAGAGGAACACTATCCAGCAAATAGAATTCAAAGTATCTTCTGTGGTATGACACCAATGAGCAGAGTCAATGTTTAAAGGAGAATTTCCTAAAATAGCAGTAAAACAATGTGATATTCCAAAATAGGAGTACATTACCATCACCATGAACAAATCGCCATATTTTGGCAATATCAAGCTTTAATATGGAAGTATATCTGTATTAATGACATACATGATTGGCAGTATTTCCCAAGCATGACAGTAATTACTCCTATTTAGAAGGGGGAAACACAATACTCCTATTTTGGAATATCACATTGTTTTTACTTTGATTTAGGGCATTTTCTGTTGTTTAAAAAGAAACATTTAAGTCATGAAACATTTTTTTATTTGTGGGCAAGGTGTAATGTTTAGGGCAATTTGAGTCTTAACCTAAAACTTTTCACAGAACTGCCTTTACAATTAAAAATTATTACTTATTAGCAATCTAAACATAGTACCATAAAATAAGTCATAGTCATAGATTACTGCCATAAGTTTAACTCTCTAAAAAATGAAGACGTATTATGCTGAATAAAATCTGAGGGAGTTGTTAAGATGAAAAATGCAGAGAAGAAATGGCTGAATACTTGAGATTTTGATACTTTGGAGCAAGTTGAATAAAAAACATTAAAGAAGTTATGTTGTATCTGTTGTTACACTTCAAATACAACAACATCCAGACATTAGTTGGGGTCGGCTAACATGAATCAACATATGAAATTGAAAGAAAAGAATAGTCATAGTAGCTAAATGACTCTGTATCTTTGCAACTATGTGGCTTAGGATGTTTTTACTTGGACTGTTTACAGTCCCAAACCAGACCAAATCAGACCAGACCAGACTTAGACCAGCCTTGGACAGTTATAAAATACACAGAGACCACACATTTACATACCAGACCAGAAAATTCCGGTCCAAGTAAAAACATCCTTATAACTAATGAGGCGAGAAAAAAAATTAAAACTAAAATGTAAATGCATGAGACTTAAGCCTAAGTCCATTCACTTGTGGCCTAAGCCAGGGCTTTTTTCACCGCCTCTCCTCAAGGCAGGCGCCTTCACAAACGCCATCTAAACCATGCCCATAGTTAGAACTTAGAAATGCATCACATAGTGAAAGGAAGACTGAGCATATTACCTTTCCAACAAAAACTATTGGTATTAAGAAAGCAGGAAGTGCTGAAACAAGTGCCAAAAGCAGGTACTCCCATTCTGTAAAATTCTGTTGGAAGATAATATGATGCAGAGGCCAAAGTTATGAACCAGCAATGTACTATTCTACGAATTTGTGATAAGACTGATTACTAAACAACAACAATAAGAAATACTCCCTCCGTCCCAATTTGTTTTGCAAAGTCAACATTTTTTGGTCAACCAATAATAAAAGTCAACCTTCTTTACGGATAATTAACTCAATTTTTAATAATTAAAATTTACATATTCATAAACTACATTAAAATCTCTTCAAAGTTGTAAACACCAAATTAGAATATAATTAAAAATTGACATCCTAATTAAGCGAACAAAACAAAACTGTTTGACCAAGAAAAGTCAAATTTACAAATCAATTTGGGACGGAGGTAGTACTATTGTTATTATTATTATTATTATTATTATTATTATTATTATTATTATTATTATTATTATTATTATTATTATTATTATTATTACTACTACTACTACTATTGTTGTTGTTGTTATTCTACATGTTCTGTTATTTTTGCTATGTTTGGGTTGGGCCTTAATCCCTACCTCATTATAAAGGTATAGCCTAGCTTATTTGGTTTATTTGATGTCCAATAGACTAAAACCAAAGACTTCTAAGGAGAATCCGACCAAAAATGGGATTGAGATCCTCTGTTGTGCGGCAGAGGTGCCTTGCGGCAACGGACGGATGAGGAAGAAGGCGCCTTGAGATGCGGTCCTCCAAGATCTGCCACCGTTGGTTTTTTTATCGGACGGCCCTTCAAAGCCGGGCACCATACCTTGCTGCAAAGCAAGGCAGAGGTTCCGGATCCCCAAAAATGAGAGGTATTAATTTTTTTCTAACCATATGATCATAAATCTAATGCTCAGAATCGTTATCAATTAAGCAGGTGTTGATGTGACTTTCTATACTTTTTAAATCCCTTTTATCTAATACAGTAATACTTCGTGTATCTTTTTCCCCTTTTTTCCCATTCCTTTTTAATTCATTGCACTTCCATTGATAGCTAATCTAAGTCTTAGATTTATGATCAGTTCTAAGCGTTTTATTATATCTAAGCCTTGGTGTTCACTTTACATAGGCGTAATTCTCCTTCGAACCAATATACTTTTTCCGCCCCAAAATGATTTGCGCTTTTACTTTTAATTAAACAGCTTGTCTAAATATAACATGAGAGACTAAACTTTATCGTCAATCAAACTTAAAAATGGCAAATTGGAAAGGTGTATGGTAGAGAAAGACCTCATAGAGCTTGTAAGGAACAACAATGCCAAGACAGAGGGTGAGCCAAAAGGGAGTATAGAGAAGGAAGAACAATTCCCCCCACCGTTTACTAGGTTGTGGAGCCAGCCATAGATCCGAACTCAAACTGACTCCTTTGTAGCCTGCAAATACGTATGCACCACAGTAAAGGCCTCATCTGAAAACTTCCACAACAATTCGTAATAAATCTTAAATCTACTTAATCGCATAAGCTTCTTTTTGGAGAGTAGATGGGAATGATTATATACCCATTTTGCGTGCTCAGAAAAGTTCGAGACTTCCCCCCCTAACAGCCATCTTAATCCATGTGAGCCGAATCGGCAGTAATCGCCGAAACCAAATAATACGCCACGCAGGGATAACAAACAAATTGCATTAATGTTGAATGAATTAAAAAAACACTGCCCAGCATACAAATTTAGAGAACATTTAGGCAAAACAAAACAATGGAATTATAAGGAAAAAAGAACTAGGATCGCTAAAATAGTCGACACCTACTTATATGACGCTACCAGCGGGAAGTTGGATCCGCAAGTGGTTGATAAGGAATGCCGGCTGTGAGCGGTGGTGGAGATGGCGGCAGTACGGCACTTAGTAGGAAAGAAGAAGATTCAAAGTGCAGTACGTTTATTCCCTCTTTCTCTCCTCAATGCCAAAACAAAAAAAGGACAATACAGAGTAGCTGGCGATTGCATTACTGTGGAGTATCCGCCACCTTTTACAATCCGAATAGATATCTCAACAGTAATAATACGGAGTAATAATTATGTTGGGGTAGCTTATACGGAGTATGAGCCTATGTCCATTTGACAGGGAATATTGGCCGTACATTTTTTGCATTGAGGTCCTCTCCCAGGGTGCCTTGCGAGTTGCGACAATCGAGATACCAAGGAATACTCTCTCCTCTCGAGATACGACGATGAAATGGCTCTACAAGTACGAGTATACCGACCCCTTCACATTCCTCGTCAGGTGAAGGGATATCAGGGAAGACATGGTTCATGTTTCCTTTATCGATTTTACTTGAAATACTTTGTTTTGGGCTTGCGAGCTCAAATTTTGGCCGGATGTGGCTCATGATTAAACATTGAATATTTCCTTTATTCATGTGATTGAATGTTAATGTTGTTATGTATGTTTAACTACTGAGTACTGTAAATTATGTCCATGTACACCTTGTACAATCAAGTGAGGGCGACTTGAGAGTGACACCACTCAATTGTACATCGTTTGTTCACGCGCTTAGATGCGGTTTGGGGCGTGACAACATTCATACGTTGTAGAGAGAAGGCAGAGCCGCTGATATTCATACCATCTACGTTTAACGCAAAAATCATTGTTGGTATTGAATCCAATCTCTAATATTCTCTATTCTGTTTTATATATCTGATTGTTGAAAAATTAGGGAGTTTCAATTGATATCAAAGTTGTACGTGCATTGATTGAACTATTTGTGTTTTTATGGACTCCATTAAAACAAAGAACGCAAGTTTTTGTAAAACTCGCTAAATCCTTAAATATTCATTGTTCTGCAAGCTTTGTGTTTGTAAACTCTCATTTTGAGGTGTGGAATCGATTGGTATGAGTTTGAGACCATAAAAGTGAGGTTTTGAAGGATTTTAATTTTCGTAAAACTACAAAGCAGTCTGATTCTGAATTCATATCTTTTGTCAACTTTATCTTTTGGACTTGATTCCTTGAAAAGAATTGTAGCTCTCAAATATAAGAATCCACATCACTTTGAATCGTGTAATTTGGTTAAGCCAATAAAAAGTTACGAAATTCGCAAAACTGAGGTTTTCGTAAAACTTTTTTGTGAAACTGTTGCGATTAAAAGTTTTATGATTTTTTTTTGTAAAACCTTTCACGAAACTGTTTTCCATTAAAAAAAAATTTCCGGCTAAACTGTTACAAGTTTTTCGTGAAAGGACAAAGTAGTCTTTTGAGGCCGCTAAACTTTCCGGCTATCGTGTCTGCGGGCCGCCTGCGCAAGGGGTGCAAATTTTGATTTTGAACTACAGGCCCAAATCTCATGTGCGCGAGAGCTTCGCTACTCTCCTTCTCTTTTTACTCCTAAGGAGGGAGTGCTCCATATGTATACGCTCAAAACCTTCTGAAGAGCTTAGGTGTGGGAAAAGTTAAGAAGCTTACTTCTTCCATCACTTGTAAAAGTGCACTTTTCCTACTACTCACTTTAAGAACTAGTTATTGGCTCATTTCAAACTTTGAGGTCCAAACTCCAAATCCTAATGTCATCACTTCAGTCAAAACTTCCAAAAGTCAACCCTGTGATTAGAAAAATAATAATTAATGAATTAATTAATAAAATCAAAAAATTAAAAATCACAAGGTTAAAGACAGATACTTCTCAAGACCTAAGAAAGAAAAACTTTCAAGTCAAAGCTTGTGAACACTTCACAATAAGGTCCAGAAATTTGCAAACAACTCAATCAAGAATACGTTAACGATCCATATCCGACAATCAAAATGGATGTCCACTCAAACTCACCATTATTGTCTATAAATCAATGTGTTGAATCTTTCGATAAGTTCGAGACAAGTACTTCTCATTTCATACATTCTGAAAACTTAATTGCTAATAAGCGTATAATGGTTAAGAAATTAGAAGCACGCTTAGCAAATAATTATAAGTGCTTAGTGAAGAGCTTAGAGGAAAGAGGAACACTCAGTACTTAACTAACCAACACACAAGAGAAAATCATTAATCTAAATTCTAAGGTAGAAAATCTATAAGCCGAAGTTTGTGATTTAACTAAAAATTTGACTACAACGGAACTTGAAAGAATAAAATTGTCTACCTTTTATGATGAAATTTTCAAAGAACGCAAGAGACTTTATTCAAAAATTAAACAAATGGAGGACTTACTTACAATAAGAGACCAAAATGATCAAACAATTTTCATGAATCAGCCTTAGGACACTAGATTCTACGATAAAAGATAAGGATGGGCTTCCAAAACCTGTGTCACCTTAAGAAAGTGAGATCACGTCAATGGTACGATATTTCGTACATGGATTTAGGACTCGCCGAACTTGTTAGATTTACTGAGGCATCTGAAATCAGTGCCAAAGAATAGGAGAAAAGAGATAAAACCAAGGATGAAATCTCTATTGACGATACATATCTGAATAATAGTTACAAAACATGGGAAATTCCTTTGTCTACTAACTACGATTCAATGTGATGCGAGTGAGAGTGTGTCTACAAGGGACAAATCTCATGTTTCTAAAAATACTAAAACTGATAGTGTTTACGAACTTACACATCTCTTTGGAAATTAAAAGAAAGTTTTTCAAAACAGAACAAGAAAAATTGTTAAATGAGATTTTTCTTCTAAAAAATGCTTCATCTACAGACACAACCTCTACCTCCTCTCATGTTTTAAAAGGTAAATCTTCATGGGCTCCCTCTAAATACGTTACTAAGACAACATTCTCATCAACCTCCTCACATTATGAAAAGTCGAAAGGCAATGCTCTCAATAAACGTCAATAGAAGAGGGTGGCCTAGATTTTGAAATGTGCTCAAAAGGAAGCTGCAATAATTAAGATATTTTCTGAAAAATCTAAAATCATTGTGATGTCTCTAAGTCTTGTACTAGCTTTAAAAAGACATATTCAAGTTCAAGCAACCAGTCATTTAGTTCAACCATAGACAATGTTTCTCAATTTTCTTCTCAGGAGTTTAGATATGTGAAATCTCACTCTAGTGCTAAGGTTAAAGAACTTGTGAAGCTTCATTCTTCCTTTACAGCTTCTCACCATCATTGTGATGTGAATGATGTGAAATCTTAATAGAAGAGATTTAAAGCTTCTACCTATGACGTTTGTGATGATGTTATTCTGAAATATCCCATCAAGGTTTATTCGGCCAAACATTTGAAACGTCTATCAAGGGAGAAAATCTTTACCTCTCGAAACTATGTTACATCATTCACCTGCACCGAAAGTTCTACTGTTCAAAAATGGATTTCTAAATTAGCATCCTAACTAATTAGCTCTTCTAAAGCTTAAAAATAGACTAGTTCAGGAATATAAATAAAACAAAAAATATCATAATATGTTTTATGCTAAAAGGGAAAAACCCACCGTGAAATGGGTTTCTTAACCATTTGTAGGTTCGTCATGTGTGATACCTGATCTGATTGCTCCACACACATGGCGGAAAGACAAGCTGCTGAGCAATCAACTCATAAACATTATGAAGGGGAGTATTGGCATGCACACTACCCCATTGAGCATAAGATCATCAAATGCACACACCAAGGTGGAGTTTTTCATTTTCTCCGCCATGGAGCCTACATATGCCAAGTGAATATTCTGGGGGGGGGGTCTTTTTCACTCCTCTTGGTGCTTTGACCAGCAGTCACTTGCTAAGTCACCAGCAACCTGTTGTTGACTTGGTTACCAGTAGCCTGCTGTTCATTACTAGTAGTCCTCTATCACTTCAAAAATACTTTGATTGTTTTATAATCCTTTATCCATCTACACACCAAAACTGAAAGGGTAGAACCTTTGTTACTATAAGTGTCACACTACATGAGGTCAAGACTTTCGTTGTCAGTTTCAATGTCTCCGAAAAGATCTTGGAACTTACTCTATTAGAAGGAAAACTGTGAAAAGACGAAAAAGTTTAAAAGTCTATTCACCTCCCTCTATGACTATCATATTTCAATTGAATTAAATTGCAAATTTTAAGAAATCAATTTGAGTTGTTTGTATTACATCATTTATACTAAAGTAGATACTAAACTTAATTTTGAGATTTACGGTGTTTACTCATGAGAAAGTCAATTCTTTCATACTGATTTTACAATTTCACAACTGTTCTAAAATTCCATAAAAAAAAAACTGTTTTAAAATTAATTAAAATCAAAATACTCTAAAAGAATTTATTTACTTTTGTTGGACGTGATATAATTGTATTCAAATGTTATATCATAGTGATTATAAAACTTGCACACTAATTTATAGTCACATTTTTGTCCATAGAGTTTTTATTAATAATATTTTAGGAAAAATTTCTTCTTTGTAATGATTATGAGACATATCTTATTGATGTTTAATGAGATTAGAGGCGAAATAAAGAATCCTTCTTGTAAAAATGATAAAGAATGTATACTCGAATGATAATTATCTATAGATGTGAGGTATGATGTTAAAGGTATGCTCTAGGCATAATAAGATGTAATTTTTATTTCAGATTATGAGAATCTGGATAATTGTGCTTAGAATATTGTTTAATTAGTAACATTTAAAAGAGAAAATGAGTTCCTTATAAGCAATAATTAATCACTATTCCTGTTTTATTAATTGAATTAAACTAATTAAGAATTCACAACTTGTGTCCAAAATTTAAAGACCGGAACCATCTCCATATTAGGAAGAGTTTTGTATAAAGACTTTATTTCAATATTATTTTCTCTTTTAGCAGTACTTGTTTTTATTTAAAGTAGATTTGGTTTGGAAGTTTGGAATTTTGGAATTTTGGAGTTCTTTAAATAGGCAGAAGGTTTCGTTTCCGGCCATTTTAGGCTTAAATGTAGTGCTGGACTCGGGCCGGGCGGCCCGAACCGGAACCGGCCCGGCCCGGTTACTGTGTGAACCGGCCCGGCCCGGTGGCCCGGTCCACCGGCGGTTCGGGTCGAACCGGCCCGGTGGATACCGGTTCCGGGCACGGGCCCTCTATTTGGTGAACCGGCCCGGCCGGTTCGGGCCCGGTCCGGGCCGGAATAATTTTTTTTTTAATTTTTTTTGAAATTTTTTTAATTTTTGGGTTGGATTAGGTATTTTGGGCCATTTGAGGTGGTTTGGGGTGGTTTGGGGTTGAGGGGGAGGGGTAGGGGGTTAAATAAGAGAAGCCAAAAAATCAAAAAAAAAATGGGGCGGGTGAACCGGCCCGGTCTGGCCCGGAACCGGCCCGGAACCGGTCACCTGCCGGTTCGGGCCCGGGCCCTCCTTT